TTAGGTTTGTCATAACGAAAGCGATATATAGTTTCCTTGACTGTTTGCAATTAAGCATAACGGTACATAATCCATCAGATTTCTGCGGTTTATGAATAAATTACAATACAAGCCCATACCTCAGTGTGTACCAGGGACGGTATGCGGTTAACAACTGGTTTTCATATTCCCAGCCCCCCCTGTCAAGAATTAAAGAGGGAAAGGAAAGACCTAACTCCTGCCAACATATCGTAAGGTTTTACTGCCAAATTAGAGAAAACTTTTCTTTCCATTTATGATAAGCTCACCAAAGCTCTGCATTAATCCTTGTATTGTTTTCCATTTTCCCATGGTCCGTTTGCACTGTTTATTTAATCTGTTTGCGTTTGGCATGTTTTATACATCCACTCTTCTGAAAGCTTGCTGCTGTGCCCACAAAACATTCAATTACGTACAGTGACGTGCCAGTGTTATTACACATCTAACTTGCACTCTACTTAATACTTATTGTGAACCGAAAAAAATCCTCCCAAATAATTTGATAAAGTTATGTTTATAAAAGTCTTTTTTGGCTTTTCTGGCTATTACAGTCTATGACATCAGCCTTTTACATAAGAAAATCAGATTTCAGGCAAAGCACCGAATTTGTATTTCAGGGTAGAATATGGACACTGACACTAATAACTTTCAAATTCATTTCAAAGCAGGGACCTGCGGTCAGGGGAGGCAGGGGAGGCAGAGCCTCACCTAGTATTATGGAGGAAAAAGCTGTCAGCTTCAAGTCTGAAGCAGTTCAAAGTGACCAGTCTCTTGATAGCTCACCCCTGACTGACTTACCTACCTTCACCATGCTGCCCTGCTGCTCTATTCCTCTATTGGAGTTGGATCTCAAACCCTGCAGAAGCTGTGCCAAATGTTGTCAGAGCTTACCCAGGCCTAAGAACGTCCTAATTTTTGGCCACAAAGGACACAGCACTATATCCTGGGTATCACGGTCTGAGACCGGGGCACACAATATGACAAAAAGTAGTGTGCAAAAAATGGTGTCTGGGGTGAAAACACAGGAAGTAGGTGTCTGTGCATTAACAGGGACGCACTAGAGCAGTGGTTCTCAACCTTTCTAGGGCCGGGACCCCTTGGTATAATTTGCCAAGTTGTGGTGACCCCCAACCGTAAAATTTAGTGATGCACCAATACTAGTATCTGTGTGGGCTCTCAGGAGGCTATGCGGGCTCTCAGGTGACCAGTGGGAATCTCTGGTGGTGTCCAGTGCGGGCTCTGTGGTGATCAAGCACTCACCTTCCCTCACTCCTGCCTGTTCCCCTCCCTCTGATCCTCTCCGGCCGCTGCTGCTGCAGCGCCATCTAGTAGAACTGACACTGCTGCACTAGGAGGAGGCTGAGGAGCCTCTTACCTAGAGCAGCACAAGGCACATGGGGACCCCCTCAACTGTGGGTTGCGACCCACTTTTGGGTCGCGACCCACAGGTTGAGAACCACTGCACTAGAGGCACAGGTTCTAAGAAGGGCCAGATGTTCGACAGAGCCTATAATGGTGAGGATGATTGGCTGCTGGAGACCTTCCAGGTTGCGACCCTCTAGCATGCCCACACAGACATAAAGGTTAGTTGCAGCACCGAGGTGCTGGATGCAACAGCAGGCAGGGTTGAAGCCTATACACAGACACACAAGTGGGCACAGGTGCAAGGACTCACTTGAAGAAGCTGATGATCAATCCAATGCAGGACGTACAGGATCTCACTGTGAGGAAGAGGGAATCCAGACTCACAGGGAACAAGGTAGGTGGTAGCAACCGCAGGGATTACAGAGGCAAGTGATAAACAGGAAGTCCGACTGGGTGTAAAGACACGCTGCTCGAACGGCACGAAACAAATGAGCTGGACTTTTAATGGAGAGGTTCAGAGTGGATTGGCAGGAAGCCAAGCAGCTCAGACAGGAGGTAAAACCCGACGCTGGATCATCACACAGGGAAGTGTGACACTGGGAGGCAATCAAATGCTCCTCCATACCCACAAGTGCCAAGTGAGGGCTCTGATGAAGCAACCGAGTGTGATGAGGGGACAGTATAAGCGGGTCCGGTTATGTGTTTTCAAAACACTCTGTCACTTTGCCCTAAATGCCCCTTTGGATATCCCGTTCCAAAACCATGGACATAAAGATAGAGCCCCCCTTTTTTGCATCTATAACAGTCTGTACTCTTCTGGTAAGTCTTTTCACTAGATTTTGGAGCATGTCCATTCAGCTAAAAGAGCAATTGTGAGGTCAGGTGCTGATGATGGATGCGAAGCTCTGGCTTGCAATCAGTGTTTCAATTTACACCAAAGGTGTTCAATAGGGTTGTGGTCAGGGCTTTCAGGAGGCTATTCAATTTCCTCCACACCAAGCTCATCAAATTATATCTTTATGGAGCTGTGAGTACAGTCATCCTGGAACAAAAAAGGGCCTTGCCCGAATCTACTGTCACAAGGCTGGAAGTGTAAAATTGCATGCTGTAGTATTAACAATGCCCTTCACAGGAAAAACCTGCACTCATAAAGTTTGAAGGGTCCACAAACTTGTGTTGCCATATGTGTGTGATGGCTCCGTGTGATCACACTCTAGGTCACATGGCGTATTTTCCCCCAAAATAATGTTATTATAAATATTTAATTAAAATGATTTCCTGCTAGTTATCCTGATTCCAACTACGCATTGGTTTTTTTACTTACATTAGTGTTGTATGGTCAATAAACAAGTGTGTACATTTTAGATTTGCAGCTGTCAGCAACAGCGTCGCCACTGACTATGCAGCGTGCACAGTAGAGTGCTTCTAATTCAAAGCTTCAAACTTAATCAACATTGTCACAGCACAGGAAGCTGTGCATGAGAACATTAAAGAACTCCAGGGATTTAAAAAGAATACCCTTACGGTGGGGCTACCCCTGCACTGCAAGGGTTAAGTGCTCGTTTTGTCTGGAGTGCTAAAATAAAGCAGATATACTCACCTCATCCTCGGCCCCGCTGAGCTGCTAGAACAGTCCCCACAGCCTCCTCTTCGCTGGGCTCCGGCGGTCTAAGGACGGGTGAGGTCATCACGTCTTATGCATGTCCAATGAATTGCATTAGACCTGAGGACACTGAGCCACATTTCACAGCCAGGGCACAGGGGGAAAGAGGTGAGCACCTACCGCTGCAGGACTGAGGATTAGGTGCGCATATCCTTTTTATTTAAGCCGAGACAAAACAAGCACTTAACCCTTGCAGTGCAGGGATAACCCCACTGCAAGTATATTGTTTTTAAATTCCCTTTACAATACAAATTGCAGAAGCCTAGTGGCTATGCAGGTAATGTGGGTCACATACTCTAATATACAGATGCCCACCAGAGGAAAAATCAAAATCAAAGGTAGTACACCAAACACCTCACCGTGGTATCTCCCCCACAGCAACGCCTCTCACCCGTTTCACCACCTGGGCTTAATCGTAGAGGACCTCTATGATTAAAAGAGAACTATGGGGTAACCTTTTTATCCCATAGTTCTCTTAAGGGCCACAGGAGGACATATACTAACCTCCTCTTGTGACCCAAAGCTCAAGATAAAGGGGGCTATTGCCCACAATATACTGAGAGCACAGCAGCCCGGACGGATCCCGACAATACTGCTGAGATCCATCCAGCTGCTTAAGTGAAAGCTGGCTCTGCCTATCTAGAGGCAGAGCCAGCTGTGCCCGCCCCCTCCCCCGTTCGTTCCTACACTCAGCGCTGGAGGGTCGCAGAGGGGAGATGATCGGAAAGGGAGCAAGTGACGGTATGCGTTCGCTCATTTCCCGATCTATGCAGCTGACGTGTGACACTTTCGTTGTCACATGTCGGATCGAACTATGAGGTTGAGTGTAAATCACTCACCTCATAGTTCTCGTTTAAGACCAGGTGGTGAAACACATGAGAGGCGTTGGTGTGGGAGAGATACCACGGTGAGGTGATTGCTCTACTACATTTGATTTCTATCTGGAAATTATTACAATAAAGTTAGACTTTTATGGATAACGGTTCTTATGCGGCTCTCAAAATACCTGAACAATCTGATTGGATGCAGGCACTGTTCAGGTATTTTGAGAGCCAGCGGGGCCGACTAGCAAGATAATGAAGCTTAGCCCAGTGGGAGATTCCTCCATCCACACAGTTTAGTGTAGATGGAGGAATCTTTTGCACGTTTTCCATCTGACCATTATCTACAGATAATCTGTAGGTGCATGGCCAGCTTTACAAATCTGTATATAAACTACAGTAATGAAAAATATGGAAAAGCCAGCAAAAACAAAGATGTCACTTTACAAAATGCTAACATCATGCACGCTATATTGTTTTGTGCATTCAATTGTCAATAAAGAAAATCTTGATAAATAAAAAAAATGCTAACAGTAAACCTTAAAAATAAAAACTCTAAATATGCACTTACTGAAACAGACTATTTTTTTTCCTGTAACATAACAAATTAGATCTAGAAATGAACCTACATATGTTTACTTGCTTTCATTCTATACAGTTGTCTATTGTTATCTAAATAATTTGGGGGGAAAAACAGAGTGTCTGGTTTTAATCTTATTTTTTATACACCTGGCATTTACACAAAAATAACAGAAGAAAAATAATATATATTATTATGGAACAATCAATTTCTCTTAGTCTGCTCTAATCCTATACACCCACAACAGATGCTTGGGATTTGAATCTGGTTGCAACAAAAGCATGAATGCCTTTGAAATAAAACTAAAAAGCGTTGCTTGTCACTCTCTTTTTTCTCTCTTGGTGAGTCTAATTTTGCTCTATTTTATTTTTATTTTTTTCTTTAGGGCCCTGGAGCTCGAGTTGCTGTCATATCACTGAGACTGTTCTGAGTTCTATTGAACACATGGTGGCACACACCAAAGGCAGCCTTTAATAATCAATGGAATGGTGCCAGTGTATTAAGTTTGCCGTGTTTTCTTAGTCATAATTGGATAGCATAATAAAGTGCGTACCAGCAGGATGGCCATTGATCCAGGGGCCGTCATAAATTACTCCCGAGCAATGAATCATACTTCCTTGTCCACTGAAGACGTCATTTCTCCACTGTCCCTGAAAAAAAAAAAATGTTCCTGCGTTAGGATTGCTGGGCCTGCTGTTTCATACAGAGGGGATTACTTCTGTGACTTCTCAATAGCAAACTGGGTGGGCCTAGAAAATGAACAACTTGATAGAAATACCCTGAGATCCTGAATGGCGGACCACACAATATTCAAAGATTATGCAATGGGCACCCCTTAAAAAAGAATTAGGATAGAAAAAACAGGTTTCCTGGCAAGACAAATGTTTCACCTTATAAGCAAATATCTTGCCTCAAAGCAAGCGCCGTAATTGGTTGCCTTTTCTTGCCTATGTTTTGTTGCAGAGCAGCTGCTGTTGAATTTTACACTGAGAATTGCTTTGCAATTTGAATCTTGCAACAATGAGTATTCATACGTCTGTCAAGTGTGAAACATATTCTGCTAAAAAAAAGCACCTGCAAAATTCGGGGACATGATCCCGTAAGCACTGTGAAGACGTCTGCGGCAAATAAGGATGTTGGCAGGTCTGGGTTCCCTTTATGTGCAATACAAAGGGGAGGGAAACGCAAATCTAAGGGAGTCTTCCACTAATTAAAGAGAGAAGCAGGTGGAATTCTTGATTATTTGAATTGTTTTTGAAAAGCTGGCCACAGACGTTTGACCAGCGGTGCCCTACTGGCCTGAGGATGTAGTCTATCCTTCTGGCTCACCCATGTGGTGCTCCTGACCCATAGACAAATGCAGAAACAAGGCCAGGAAATAATATATTTGGGAAATACAATGATTTGTCTTTATTCATCTTTAAAAGAAAAGTAACGCCAATGACTGCTATGGGCTGACGGGCAGAGCCGCACCAAGATAGAGAAGTATCCTGATGATATTGCCAGGATCCACCCCAACTGCCTAATTGACCCCAAACATCTCTTTCAATAATGATATAGTGAAACTATGCACTGGTTATAAAAGTGTATGTGTTTTTATTTTTTAATTTAAATAATAAATAATAAAGGTTAAAACTAGGGATGCAACAATACCATTTAATTGTGAGTTAGCCAGTTGCAGAAAAATCCACTGCTGTATTGGAGCCAGCCCCCTGTTTCCTAACTGGACCAAGCAGGCCCCACCAGCAGGAGTTTGGGGCAAATCTGGAAACAAGGGAAAGCACATTTGGACATCCCAACAGGCAAGCAGGTGCATGCTATCCGTAAGTCCATGCCCCCTTTAATTATCATTTCCTGGAGTTCAATGTGCAGATATAGTTACATAGTTACTCAGTATTTGAGGTTGAATAAAGACACAGGTCCATCAAGTTCAACCTTTGTGTGTCTGTATGATCCCTAAGAATTTTATACAAGAAACTAATACCTAAGGAGCATATTTATAAAGCGTTGGCATTCACCAAACATTCAGTGCAGGTGAATCTTCCAGGTGCATGTGTTTAAAATGACAGTGATTGAATTTTTGGTTTAGTGGAAATCAATGTTATAAATCTGCTTCATAGAGATTCCGGATATACAAAATAATTTAATGCTGTTAAAAAAAAGTGATTTCACTTGAAAATCATTCTTCTCCACTTGCAGTCTCTCAACAGCTGGAGAGCCATAAGTTGCCTAACCGTCATATGGGGTAACGAATGCTGCCGGATAGGAATTTGGCAATTGTACAAAATTGGTGTTATTCTGTAAGCCACTATTTTTGGACAATGCAACAATAAGAAAGAGATGACTGTAGAATTGTGCACAGAAGGAATGCCATTCAGCATCACACCTGTTGAGCACGATTAGCAGTTTGCCTAAAGAGCAGAACATCCTCCCTAAACACACAGGAAGGAAGTACAGTAACAGAGATGGGACTAAGCTGAACTTGTACAAAAGCCAGAAGCCTATCGCAAGCGGGGGATTCATTTTACATACGATTACATGGGAACCAAATTCTACTGCAAACTATATAGGAAGGGATTATGGAGAATACATTCTTAGCAAACATATCTATGGACAATTAATTAAACAAACAGAAGAAATCTGAGTGCAATACAACAGCCCCAACTGTCCTTCTTTTGCACCCAAAGTCTTCTGTTCCTTTTCCTCCATAACTGTCCCTTTTTAGGGCTAAATGTATGGATCTCAATATAAAAAAGGGTTCATAGACATCATAGGCATTGTCATGTATTTCCAAAGCAATTCAAGTGAACTGGTTGCCTTTTTAAAAAACAAAGCTGAACTCTAGACACAGAAACTTTCATTGAAATATACCGTGTTTCCCCGAAAGTAAGACCTACCCCGAAAATAAGACCTAGTGTCTTTTTTCGTGAAAAAAAATAAATAAGAAACTGTCTTATTTTCGGGGAAACACAGTATTCTTTATAGCTACAAAGGGCCCAGTCATAGCATATCCAGTGCGGTTCGCACCCGGAACGTACTGGATTGCATACATCAAGCTGGGCAGGGTCCTGGGGTGCGAGGGGGCATGTCGGTGCCATTCATGTCAATGACACAGCAGACACGCCGCCCCGACCGCAGTGTGATCGTCCACACCGGAACGCCAGGTACAGGCATGCCCTCTGTTCCAGTGCAATGCGATCTGAAAAAATAGTGGGTGAATTCCGGCCCTCCAACTGTGCAAATCCCATCATGCATCTGCTTCTGGGAGTCATGCCTGTGGCTGTTAGAGTCTTGCAATGCCTAATGGGATTTTTAGTTCCACAAAAGCTGGAGTGCCGGAGTTTGCCCACCCCTGGTGTTCACCAAATGCCTTTACAAATTCAGAAATTAGCCTGTAAATATAGCAGTGACACCATCACATAATATGTGCAGAGAGCAGAGCCGTGAGTAGGGTCCTGCCGGTCACACCAACTACAGGCTTCACTGCCTGCAGAAAACCTAAGGAGATAAGACCAGTCACCCTGCACAAGGAGAGAAAGCATAAGGGACTGGTCTTTATTACAAGAAGCTCCTACAGAGAGGCAAGGTTTCACAATGGATTACTGCACAGATCTGTAAGAAATACGCCAGCACACCATGATTCATGTAAGAATACACAGACTTCTTGTATTTAGACAATATCTGCTTATTCTGGAGTTGAGCTTTAAAAAATGCTAAACTCCTGCATATAGGTAGAATAGGCTCCTCCCCGTTTCATACATTAGTGCTCCGAACCATAGTGACCTATGACTAGGTTTAGGCAGTGACACTTAAGAGTGTAGGATGGGTACATATGCAAATAAAATCTTTAAGAATGTATTTGCATAGAAACTTCAGGAGCAGTGCTCTCTGGCTGGATGATCTGATTAAATAATTTTTCTCCTAACCCTTGCAGTGGGGCTACCGCTGTACTGCAAGGGTTAAATGCTTCTGTTGGTCTAGGGAGGAAAATAACAAAGTTATACTCACCAGATCCTCTGACCCGGCTTGCTCTTAGACCGATGCCTGGAACCTCTCTTGCCCTCCATTGCAGCGGTCTCAGGTCCATCAGTCATCACATACTACACACTGTACATAGGATGTGAGGACACCGAGGGACATATGCAGCGGAGAAAGAGACATGCTGGAGGGAGCACTGTCACAACCTTTCGGCTCTGTGGAGTATAACTTTTTTATTTTTCTCCCCAGACCAAAACAAGCACTTAACACTTGCAGTGCGGGGGGTAGCCCCACTGCAAGGGTTAAGATTAATTTTCCCTGGAGTTATGCTTTAAGGTATTATGTGGTACCCTCTGGTCCCTGCTGTATAAATGGAACCTCAGTGCATACCCAGACATCTCAACTCTCCCGGAAGTTCCGGGAGTCTCCCGCTAATAGATAGCGGCTCCCGCACACCCGGGAGAGAAACATTTTCTCTCGGAAAGGTTTACTCTACTCGATTTAGCAGAGCAAACCTTTCCCTGCTATCTGTTTTTTTTTATTTCTGACATCGGGGCCGCCATCCGCCGTCAGTCAGAAAAAAAAAAACGGTGTAGGAATGAATCGCTAGATTGCTATTGGCTATTTCAATTTGCAATAGCCAATAGCAGACTAGCTATTGCACCCGCCCACTGCTGTCAATCAGCAGAGGTGGACCTGAAGTTCTTCATCAGGTCCTCCTCTGTTGACCGACAGCAGCAGAAGGTGGGTGCAATAGCCAGCTTGCTATTGGCTATTGCAAATTGAAATAGCCAATAGCAGCCTAGCTATTCATTACTATTCTTTTTTTTTCAGATGGCAGCAGCGGTCAGAATACTAAAAAAACAGCAGATAGCAAGGGAAGCATTAGCTTCTTTGCTATCTGCCATCATTTCAGGGGGGTGCTCTTTTCCTTGTTGTGTCACCCCCCCCCCCCCCCTCATGGAGAAAGGGGGGGGGGTTGACAGAGAGCACCTCCCTGAAATGAGAAGGACACCTCCCTGAAATTACATATTTCAGTTTGGGATCCTTGCATACCATACTGTACAACTGCAACCTTCGTGCATATTACTTGTAGCCAATACAGGTTTACTTTAATATAAATCCAACACATCTGATCTACCTCTGCTTCCCCATTCCAGCAGGCAGTTTATGCATTATCACTGCCAGCCTAATTTGACGTTTCAGCTGGTGCGCAGATAATGGTAAATTAACATGGAGTGAAGATGGAGGATTTAAAAATCATTTTAGCAATTGCTCAGCAGATAAACATATGGATTACGTTTATGATTTACATTAGATTTGTTCTGCAGTTCTTTCTAAGCAAACCCCTACATAATAAAACACGGTTTTCCTCCAGGAATACTCTACTGTGTCCTAATACACAGACTGGATTAGAATTCCAGCATTTATTGCTTTCTATAGTTTATAGCTATGTGATCACTATAAATCCATGATATACGACAGACAAAATATAACCTGGAGTTATCTGCACTCCCATCTGTCCAGCTGTCTCATGTGCTGCACTGTCAGGAGGAACGGATAGCCGGCATCGCTATTGCTCCACAGGGGTAATCTTTTTCTTTGATTTTTATTGCCATTTCTAATTCAATTATATCAAACACTTCTTTGGTCACTGAGACCTTTTGACCGA